CCCCTGGTCTCGTCTCTCTCTTCTCTCTAATTCCAGCTGTGTCAGTCTTGTCTTCCTGCTGATGCACTGGCTCACTATGCTCAAGCTGCTTTGCTGGACAGAACACCGCTTCCAGCAGAGGAGTTAGTGAAGTGCCTTGATTCAAACTAGTGCTTCCTTTTCTCTTTGTCCCAGGTATGTTGATGCTAACAGAGACTGCTCAGTGTAACCGCAGGGAGACAAAACGCTGAATCTTTTAATTTGCCAAAACAAAGGGATCTGAGAACCCAGATACTTTACTGGGCATGCACTACCACAGCAAGTTACCTCTACTTTTTTTTTTTTTTTTAAAGAAAGGGAGCACTTTAACCATTGAAGCCAGGAAGATTTTGGAATGGGATGCACATGCTTCTATCCCCTTCTCTTCTCCCCCCTTAACCCTGGTTATCTAAGCTTATGTTAATAGATCAGTCATTTTATTCTGTGTAATAGCTTTCTGCTGTAATTTAAAGACTCATACTTCAAGAAAAGTGAACCCAGAAAGGAAGTCTACACTGATAAGAATTGAAATTCTGATATTTTCCATATGTGCCAAATATATTTTCTTCAAAAAAACACAATGAAGTACAGATTACTTTGTAAAGAGTTCAGAAGGTCTTTGCAGCCAACCTCATTCTCCAACCACCAAAAAAGAAATACTCAACAAGAAAAAACATTCAAATGACAAAATAAGATGGGTTAGCGTATGCACCGGGGCCAAACTTTTTTGTCTTTTTTAAACCACATGCTAATAAAATATTTCTTACTACTGCTAATAATATTTTAAACAAAGTTATGGGTCTTCAAAGCTTATCATATAAAAACTCAGTTTTATTTCTGACTATTTTTTTTCTTTTTTTAAAGTTTTCCATGTGTAATTTCTGATATTACAAGCCCTTTATGTATGCTCCTCCCTACACTTTTAGTATGACACGCCCTCTGGGAAACTCGTTGTAGGCTGTTCCTTGTCCTGGACACCAGACATGTTGATGTTCACATCTCTCTCTTGTATGTTCAGAATCAATATACAGCTATTCTTCACACCACCCTCTAAATATGCTTGAAATTTATTTTGCTCTCATAGTACTTATTTACTTGTTCATACTAGCTCTTGAAAAAGTATTTGTTAATATGGTGCTAAATGCCAGCTAAACCTAATATTTAAAAAAATAACCGTTGAGGGGAAAATTAAATTTAATGTAGCTTGTTTTATAACCAGGAATAACTTGGTGGAGTCTGAAAAGAAAGTTATTTTACATGTGCACATTACTACATTTAGACTGAGATATAACAGAGGAACTATGATTCTCAATTCCTACCACTATTTGATTGTATGTGACATTATATCACACCAGTTCATCTTGAAAATATTTTTGTTTTTCATATACTAGGCAGATTTCAAAACACGTGAAAACAGAATTTTCTTAGAAGACTTAAAGTTGGAAACATGATGTGAAGCAATACAAAGCTAGCTTGGAAAAAATCCAGAGAAATAAAGTTCAGCTGATTTGAAGTATTCTCCTAATTTGAAACACAAAAACAACATACTACAACCTTTTGTTTACTACATAAGCGAGAAAAATAAAAAGGATTTAAGAATCAGATTTAAAGTTTTTTTCACCCGACTCTGGGCAACACTTGGAACACAATGTTAAGATAATGAATGAATCTACCCTGGGGCTTTTAAGTTCTCCCAAAGTAACTTGACTTGTTGGAAGAGGTTAGGACTTCATGCATATCTGAAAGTAATCCACAGCAGCGGAAATCAATGATCAATGGACTAAATGGATGAAGAGTGAATCTGAAGGAGTAAAAGAGACGAATAAAGGGGTTTCTGCAATATTCTCACTCTCCCCTTACCACCCTGATTCCTTGGAATCCCCATTGGTGATCTCTTGGAGTTTGCAGATGATTGTCTTTCATAAAATGAAAGCCAGTTATCACTGGTGGATCCGCAGGTAGCTAATGAGACCGATCCAGGATCCACAGATCTTGTCACAACTGGGGCAGACATTTCCCATGGAAGGGGCAGATCTGGATTGCTGAGTCTGGGTGCGGCACGTTCTTTCCTCCTTTCCCGTTTCTCCGTTGGATCTCGAAATACCGGGATCCTTGCCACCATGTCCTTTTCCAGTTTGGTCTGTCGAGTGCTTGGGTTTCCCATGAGTTTGTCAATATTGCACTCCTTCATGTTGGCTTTAAGGGTGTTTTTGAAGCTTTTTTTTTTTTTAACCTGCCGCTTGTCTGTTGAGCGTTGGCAAAAAATCCCAATAAAAACCAAACCAAACCAGAGAAGACTCATTGAATTTGACAGTCTCTGGATAGGACTGGAACAGGGATGAAGACTCAACTATCCTCTCATCCGTGTCCCTTTAGGACAAGGTTGAGGCAGAAAGACAGTGAAAATACCCCTATATCATCCTGCCGATCTACTTCCCATATATCTAATTATCTTGATTTTTATACCACATTCATCTCCTTGGGACCGTCACTATGAGGTACCTGGTATTTTGCTGAGCAGAAGAATTCAGTGCCCCGCATTGTCAGGCTAAAATTACCCACTATGCCCTATGTCCAAATACACTTTTTTCATTCCACTAAGGTGATTATAAAGCCGCTGATTGGCCCATTTACAGGTGCTTACCCTCTCTGAGATCTCTGTGGACAAATGGCGGTGGAGAGAAAAGTAGCAAGATGAGGGTGCCAAAGGAAAGGAGGAGATAGAGGGGGAGTGATAAGGGCATGGAGGTGAGGAAAACAAACAGAAACAGTAGAGGCAGAGACTCAAGAGAAAGGAGTCAGAAAAAGTCCTCCCCTATTTTCCCCATGAGAAATAGTGCCCACTTGTCAGAAATAGATGGGAAATGAAGCACTAAGTCTTCTTCAAGCAAGATAAATAGAAATGGGGACTTTTTTGGGGCAAATAGTAAATTTGCTGAAAAATACATCTTTGAGGGCACTGAAACTTGCAAATTTGGATCAATTCACCGAATACTTTCATCTGGATTTGTTTGTTGTTGTTGTTGTTGAAATGTCAAAACAAAACATTTTGACACTTCGGAAACGAACCATTTCAAACATATCGTTTCAAATCAACCTTTTATTTAGAAAATTTCATTCCAGACAGACATTTAAACATTCCCCTAGAGCCAAGCAATTTGTTTTTGTTTTTTGTTTTATTTCAATGAGGAAAACTGGAAAAAAAAATCAGTTTTGGTTCAAAACAAACCTACTTTTTTATTTTTCAGATCAGCCACTGAACCAAAGAAATCAATTATTCACTCAGCTCTAAGTATGAACAGGCCAAGTCATTACAGACAAGACTGACAGCAACACTTAGAGTTAAGACTGCCTGACACTTTCCATTATGAGACCTCATTTTCAGTTGCTTATAACTACCAAACTTCAACCATTCAGGCTGAAATTTTCCATGCTGGGTGTCTGCCACAGGCTGAAATTTTAAGAAAGTTTCAGCAGAAAGAATTCTGTTATTTGCAAGAGTTAAATTAGGGAAAATAAATTGGTTTTGCTCAAGTTAAAAAAAAGTCTTACAACATTTTTCTTGATAAGCTCTAGCACCTTCATCTATTGAAATAGAGATTGAAACTTGGCCCTGTTGGGGGGGGGAGCAGGGGAGGGTGTCACCAAGGAGTTAGACAATTGCATTTTCCTGTTTCAGTGAAAATCCATCCAGACTTGGCCAAGTTGTTAGCTTCTGAAAACCATTATTTGCACAAGCTCAGTAGAGGCTTGTTAACAAAATTCTTGGCAATATAATTATCCAAACATTCTGTCTGCACTGAGTGTGTTCCATCCTGGGGCTGTAGGGGCCAAGCAGGACTTTGTCTGCAATTGCTCCTCCTGGAAACCTGGGGATGCTGTAACACTGAGCACTTTGCAGACAAGTAAAGAACAGTGAGTGTAAGTGACTTTTTCAATGTCAGATAGGGTTACCATATCCAGCAAA